AATTATATTTATATAAATTTTTTTATTTACCGTAACTTTAATTGTCAATCATATACAACTATTTTTTATTTTTATCAATAAAAAATAAAAAATAAAAAATGAAAAATGAAAAGCGTTGAGTTTTTGCTTGTTTCCGTTCCTTGAGCCCACTTTATAGCCCACCTGCGAAGATAAGATTTTGGGACTTGCTGGGCCTGGAGTTGGTATTGGGCCACTAATGAGCCCATTAAATTACTAATGATACTTAGCTAAATCTTAAATAAGATGGGAAAAGTTTGCTCAATTTACATACATACTTAATTCATTGCTAAATAATTGAAAATTCAAAAGAGTACCAAATACAAAGTTATATTACTTCTTTTACATGTTCAATCATCATATAATCTAATGGGCAAGTATTATATATATATATATATATATTGGATAATTGCCTATTAATACAAGTGTAATTCCCCAACCGGCTAAGAACTGCCTCGCCTTTGTTATTCTCGCCGGTAGAGCGCCGAACTTGCACAGAACTCTCACACCAGAGGGATTTTTCGGTGAAGAGCCTCCAACGTTGAAGTCAGAATTGAGAAGTATTCTAAGTGATGATAGTATATTATGGACATTGTGTGTAAATTTATAAGGCTCACCCCTATATATAGGGTGAGATGCCTGTTCTAGAGGCTGCCTGGGTTTACTGAGTTGGTTGTCCTAAGGTTGCCCGTCCTGCTCCATAGTACAATCCTCCATATAGGTGTGTTAGGAATGTGTCAGAAACAGTTATTAGTATAGGTCAATCCTCACGCCACGTGTCCTACACACGTGTGTCGGAGATTCCCTTGGAGGCTCTTATGTTCGACCAGATCTGGATAAGCTATAAAGTCGCTCATGGCGTATGAAATGGTCGATCACACGACCATTTACTCGACCACTTAGTCCCTCAACCAGGTCTTCTGCAAAGCTGGGACCGACCTGCTCTCCCGAGATTCTTATTGCCGTGACCTTTGTCTATTACCGACCGGCGTAGGCTCCGTTCGACCAAATCAGCTCCTCCGATTTATTCCACCGACCAACTGGACCGGTCTAAGGTATAATATCTTATATCATCTAGTCTCCCTCCATTCTGGTCGAGTCTGAATGACTCGATCTAAGAATAGATTTTCGTCTTTTCCATCTGCCGCCACACCCATTATCCTCTTCGACCAAACAAATTGGATAGATACTTATATATTTATTTTAGGTTTACAAACCAGTTTTTTTGTATTGTAAATTTATAACTAGCTTATCTTTAGTTTATATTTAATCTTATAATTTGAGTTCCATTTTTCATCACTAGTTTAAAACAAATGCAGTCTTTACTAAAACTCTAATTTATTTCTATATTTTTTTTAAAGGTCGGTTTCAAACACATTTTTAAATAAGATTAAATATACATAATAATTGAAAACCATACAAAAGTATAATAAAATTAATATAACTAAATATTCATTTGAAAAAAAAAAATATTTGGATATCTCCATATTTTTGATCCATACCAAGTCTAGTTGAAACATTTCGATAGTCATAAATCTCTTACTCCGAAACTATAAATTTCTAAATTGAACAAAACAAAACCGTTTTTAAATTCGGTCTAGCGATTGATGACTGACATACATAAACATTGAACTCGATATAAAAATAATAATAATAATAATGATGCGGTTATTATGCAACAAGGGTCCATTACTGACATGTGTAAACATTGAACTTGATAATAATAATGACTGACATGCGATTTATTTATCAGCAATTATATTGCTCACATACAGTAAAAGGAATAAATTTTTTTAACTTGTACTGTGTTAAAAACTTAAAAAAAATAAAAAAAATAAAAAAATAAAAAAAATGAAGTCGAGCCGACATATCCCCACTGCCTTGTGTTTGGTCCAAAGAGGCCAGATCTGACTATCTGAGCAACCACGTGCTCCGGATTTTTATTTTACCCTTTATCCTGTTCTTCCTTTAAGTTGTAGTTAAAAAATTATATATTTAACTTAAAATTTAGTTCATTTTTCTAATAGTTCTACACAATTGGTTTACAAGTTCATAATACAAAACAATGTTGCATTTAAATTTTATAAATTGAGTGTCAACAAATTTCAACTTGAAATAAATGAAGAAAAACAACTTAAAGATTCGATTGTAATCATATACATTCCCTTAAACATTTGACCGTGAAGAAAAACCTTTTAAAGATTCGATTTCAATTATGAAAGTTCTCTTAGACATTCGATTGTTTTTATCAAAATCTCTTAAATTGCAGCTCTTTCTTTTCTCCGTAGACATAAGTTGTTAATTTAGTGACATAAGTCCAAATTTGTCTTGATAAAAGCATCATAAGACTTCTACTAATTCTTCTAATTATTGAAATCGACAAATAAAAAGGCTAGATTGCTAGGGAATTTTCAGAGGTTTATATTTTTATCCAAATGAATCAAATTGTAATTATTGAAAATAAAAGTAGGAAGCATTTTCCATTATTCTCCACTAGTGCACTTGAGATTAATGAAATCTTGTGTGTTAATTTGAACTTCTAACTTAGAAAATCGAAGTAAATTCGTTACCTACGAGTCTAAGGACAATTTGTCATTGTCAATGTTACCAACATTTGAATCTCTTTTATACAAATTAATAAAATGAGAGCAGGAGAAAGAATAATAAATGGGACCAGAAGCTTTACCGTTGTGGAGCCAGAAAATGACAAAAGACATATTAATAAATGGATAAAACAACACGCGAAAATTATTATACAATATAT